TATAAGCTGCCTTGGTCACCTGTCTTATTATAGCAATAGAAAAGTAAGCAAGACGGCTCAAAATGGCAGCACTTGGTAACAGATGTACTGGGTTGTACAACTGTTAATTTTGTCCTGTATTTCCAATTAAGGCATCCTAAGTAGGAAGTCATCAAGATACTTTATAAGCTTAACTGAAAAAATACTTCTTGGTTTTCTTGATGGTGCTCGATTATTGTCCTTAGTTTTGGCATTTCAGAAATAGAAGTAACAATAAAAATCAAGTCTTTTGATTTGCAGATTCTTTGCCAGGACATGGTAAACTCTAGATACCATCATGGTGATGCCTTTAAAGACTAGACTGATTTTTTAATCCTCAGTTGTCTCAAAGACTGGAAGGTTCCCCTTGTTAATAACAATGAGACCTGCTGATCCTTTAACTAAGTTGGGCCATTGTGAAAGGCAGGGAGAGGAAGCCCAACCTCTTAGCTGTGAATTTAGCGTTGTTCTACCTGGCGGCCATTCTGGGAAGAGAAAGCCATCCACTCAAGGCAGCCAGAGAAAGTGGTTAGCCTCATCTGAAGATAAGAATCAGTTGATTCTCTTTGGGGAGGAGACGATGGAGGGGGCTACAACCAGGTTGTAAAGTGAATAGATTATAAAAAAAAAGAATTAGTAGATCTAAAATTTGTGTTTCTGCTAATTTCCAGGTAAAGAAGCTACTGTTGTTTGTCCAGGCCACACTTTAAGAACTGTTGGTCTAGTGTGCCTGGCTGTTAAGTGTGGGGACTCTTCAGGTTTGATGTTTATGGAATTTCTACTTTCCTGAAGTTCTAGGAATACCTGGCAAGTAGGCTTGAGACTAAAAAAAAAAATACAGTTAACATGGTGCTTAGTGTTTGCTGATTGTCAACTTGACGGCACCTGGAATCACGTAGGAGACATACCTCTGGCACACCTATGAAAGATTATTAGCTTATTAGCTCTATTACATAAGGCATTGCTAAATTAGGTTAGCCTCTGCGCATGCCTGTGAGGGACTAATTTGATTTGGCTAATTAAATTGGGAAGACCATTATGGGTGACTGGGATACTGGACTGGATATGAGGGAGGAAGTGACTATACACCACCCCTGCTCCTTGACTGTACTCACAGTGCAAGCAACTCGGGCTGTCTAGACCTTCCATGATGGAGTACTTTGCAACTATAAAACAAAGTAAACTTCTCTCCCTTAAATGTTGCTTTTGTAAGCATATTTAACCACAGCAACAGAAAAGTAACAAAGAAAATTAGCTTTTTCTTAACCTGGCTAGGCGGTGTATGTTAAAACTCACAGTCACATAGTGACTTTCAGCCATTAAAACGTCATGACTTGAATCCTGCTGTGCCTAACATTAGTTTTAGTTCACATTTGAAGGAGAGGTCCTTTGAATCATTTTTATTTTTTGAGGGTAGTCTTGGAGCAGGGCTTCTCTGGGCCTGCATATACAGTTTCTGTGTCCCTTTTCAAGTACAAAAGTCATAAATACCCCTTCCTCTGATTTGGTGGGTTGCACAACAGGGAAATCCAAGGCCAGGCTGTTTTTTAAATTTATTACTTCCTTTACTGGTCCAGTACAAAGGCTGTAGGACTGCACCAGGCTTGGCACACCATTCTCATGCTCTGTGGTGCTCCTGCCTGCTCCCTTCACAGGCCAGTGTGAGCCTCTGGCTGGATCCATCAGACTGCCCTCATTTTATAAGCCTCCAGTTCCGGCAGGCCTCCAGAACCCAGCTCCTACAGGTGACCACCACACTCTATGGTGTGAAAAGAGCCTTCTTTCCACTTCTTCTCCAGCAGGTTGGGTTGTGAGTCTCACACTTCAATAGAGTGAATCTGCTAAGCTTGCGGCCCTTCCTGCCTGCATGCCTCTGACCGTTCTGATCCTTCGGACCCCAAGCTCATCCTTGCTGCCTTTTCCTCTCATTCTCTCAGTTCAATTCTAGACATCCTTTCAAAAATACTTCCATGTAAAGAAACACTTATCTCAAATCTTGGAAAACACAAAGAATGGTGGGAAAATGTCCATGGACAAGAACAACTGTGATTCGTGCTTCCTTGGATTTATTTTTGCAAGATATGTTCTTCATGTACATTTATTTATTTATTATTTTTATTTTAATTACAGGTCTTCATGTACATTTTTATTGGCCACACCTTAAAGTAGTTTGTGTCCTGCTTTTATCACTTAGTGTTACAGAAAAACTTAAGAGTTTTCTTAGAGTTTATGTTATTAAAGAAATCTTTTTAAATAGCTGTGGGCTTTGTGGATATACTATATATAAATAAAGGTATATTTAAGTTTTGTTTGTTTAGTCCTTATCTTTGTTAGTTTCACTTTTTTGCTATTTAAAGTACGGATTTTTTTTAAAGGTTTTTAAAATTTTTTTAAAATGTAATTTTGGCATTATTTCTAGTTCTTCTTTTGGGTCAAAATTCCAGATTGGAAATACTAGTATCCTAGATCTTTTTAGGCTCTTGTTGTGTACTTAGTAAGTCTGCTACAAAGAAAGGGTTTAGAAATTTACAAGCTTACCAGAAGATTGTGAATATTTACATTTCAATAACCTCTCTGAATTTCATAAGTCATAGTGTTTTGCTTGGCACTCCATCATTTAATTCACCTTTTGTATTTCTTTTGATTTGGCTAAATATGTTTCTATGTTTCTTAACTATGTATGTTCCTTCTTCAGTGGCCTGATTTTTAATGCCCCTTTCCATTTTCAGTTGGCATGTTTACCCATTTTCAGTGTTTTAAGGAAACTTCTACTTCCCGCGAGGTTCCTTAGACAAGTCTGTATGCCACTCTGCTGGGGTCATGTACAATTCTTACAGTGTCTTGTCTCCCTCCAGTGGACAGCGAGCAACTAGCAACTAGCGCCTAACCGATTGTCTGTGTCAATGATTTAATCGGATAATGATAAACCAGAGAGGGCCCCTGCACAGTAGACTGTAACTAGACAAGCATTTCATCAGAGCGCTTTGTCAGCATTTCATGTAAAAACAAACAGGGGCACTAAGCTCTGGATAGGCCTAGGCAATTTTGTTTACTGTGATATAAGTCCTACTTAGGAAACTTCACACTTACATGGCTAGAGATTGAAATACTGCTGGCAATTATTTGTTCATTAAAAAGCCACTGATGTTTGTCTTTTATCTCAAAAAAAGCAATTTCCTCCACAAAATATTATAAAATTAAATTTATTGATTCATCTGGAGCCTTATTGAATTATCTGTACAATTACCATAGCATACGTTATAAAAGTAGGCCACAATAAAGATGCACTTCCTCAGACCAAAATGAAAAACAGTGCATCGTTCAAATTAAACGGAAACAAAAGCTAAACCAAAACCAACTGCCTTTTTTTTTTTCATCGTGTCATACTCTTTTATATTTTTGGTTGTGAGCCTAGCCTTTAACAGCTAAGCCATCTCTTCAGCCCCATACTCTCAATTTATACTCCCTATAGTCTTGATTTGGCTTTTTTACAGTTTGGCTATACAAATACATAAATTAATACCATCTCTGAGAGCTCAGAAAAACCGAAGGTGAGAAAACGGGTTTTCTACTGTGGTGGAGAGCAGAGAGCTCCTCTTGTGTTTGGAAGGGACTGCCAGCTGGAGGCCTCAGGACCATCTCAGAGTCTGAGTGACCAGTTCAGGGACCGGACAACTCTCTCAGTCCCCCATCTCTTTACTTACAAATGCTGAAAGCTCTTGCTGTGAGCTTCAGCTAGGACCACAGGTCCTGCAGCAGGGGTGCCCCTCCCCCACTTTCTTTTTGGCCATAGTGTTGCTGATCCATGTGAACTCTACCTTCTGTAATTAAAGCACTCCACTAGGTCTTTCTGACTCACCTTTGCTCTGGTTCTGCAAGCACTGCTCACGGGGGAGGGAGGGGGGCGGGCTTGGTAACATCTCATTGTTTCTACAAAGAGCAGATTGTAGCAGAAATTGGCAGGTGTGAAGGTCACTGCCATCACCCTCCACAGAGGCTGAGTCCTGGGTGGGCCTCTTACTGTGAGTTCACACAGCTAAAATTGGTAAATAATACAGCTCTCTGGTAAGTCACAGACCCGTGCTTTCCCGAGAAACCTAAGTCCTTTCCCACAAAGAATCCATCAGTGTGATAAACGAAGGTTTCATGAACTGAAAATTTTAGGCTCAACATCCATTCCCACTGACATGCCTGCCTCCATCACAAGAGAGCAGACTTCAAAAGATAAGTTTCCCCTTTTCTTCTTTGAGTTGTTGGTGGCATCTTGCCTCATTTAGACTACATGAAGTTGCACATCTTCACCTGAGGGAGTGAGCACCTTGAAATTGTCTCCACAAATGCCTGACCTGATCTGGTTTCCCAACTCACTCCTCTAAATAGTGTCTATAATTCAGATTATTCTTAGGCCATTTGAAAAACAAACAAAAAAGGCAGCAATTATGATACAAAATAAATTAGGTTTTACTGGAAAAAAATAGTGTGAGCCATTGCTAAGCTTGTTCAAGAATATCCACCACATAATTATAAACAAACAGTGATGTTGCTACGATATTTAAATAAAAACCCATAGGTTTTAAGACTGATCTAAAAATTTAGGGCCACCAGGTACAAATGTTGGGACAATTAGTGTCATTGCTATAACATTGTTAACATTGTTTACAACATACAAATTTTAGTTGCTGTTAATAGCACAAACTTTTTAAATGGATCAAAATGGCTTACGGATATAGAGAAACAACACATTGTTAAATCACATACCTTTGAAAATAGATGTTTTAATTATGGGAGAGAGTTCAAATATATTTTTCTTATTATTAATTGTGTGTGTGTGTGTGTGTGTGTGTGTGTGTGTGCGCACATGAGTGTAGGTGCCCATGAAGGCCAGAGGTTTCAGATCTCCTAAAACCAGAGTTGCAGATGGCTGTGAGCCCCCTAATGTGGGTGCTGGGAATCAAACTTCTCTGGAAGAGAAGTTCATGCTCTTAACCCATCTCTCCAGCTCCCCACAGGAGATAATCTTTAAGGATTTAAATCATAAGGTTTTTCCAATCATGGTTCTTTGTCTGACTATGTGGAATCTTTTCAGCTTACCAGAGCATGCAAAGCCCTCATAAAGTGGATTCTCTGTTAGTTTGGCAGGAATGGCTGTGCCAGTTTCTGTAGATCAGAGGTCTTATGAAAATCTTGTGGAATAACATCCGGAATACTGAAGTCCTGAAAATGATGAAAATCCAGGGGTCTACGATTGAAATCACAGACAGAAAACGCAGGGCTTGGAGGTCTTCTGAGTCTCCTTCAGCTGTGCTGACAAGTTGAAAGGCTCCATAGTAAGCACGATACTGTTGGGGAGGGGAAAAATAGTTACACAGATAAAGAGATAGAAGGCTGATGGAAAGAAGGAATCTCATTATTCTGTTCATCTTAGCCTGGAATCACCCCATGGCTGAGGCATGTGGGTGAGGACCCTGAACAGTGGGAAAACTGAGGTACATCCTTGACTGTTCTTCATTCCAGGGTGTTGCCAGATGACAATGGGCCAGACTCCCACACACAGATATTTTAGCTGGTGCCCTTACACACGTACTTACTTCAGTCCTGCCTATGTCTGTCTACTCTTATTAGTTTACTTAGAAGTAGCTACCACGCATATAGACACACCAGTGAGATGGGGCTTTGAATAGAAGTGAAAATACAGGAAATATGACCAGTAAAAGCCATGAGGTAACCAGACGAAAGGACTGGCTAGCTCATGTAAGTTGTTCCTTTGGTTAAGATAGATTCTATATAAGATGGGGTTAAGGGGTACCCAAAGATAGACGCATACTTACCTGTGTCCAGCCGCCTTCAATGCCTTGATCTTATCTTGGGTCCTTGTTTCCTCAGAGCTTTTGAAGTGTCTCAAATGAGTCTCCCTGCCATTCAGGTCACATTGCTGCCTAGATCAGCACAATCCCAGACTACCATTCTGAGGATTGATACCTTCTCTTTTGACATTACACTTTCCATGCCTACTGAGATTCTAAATCTACAATGAAACAAATAGGCCCTAATGGAACAGAAACTACAGGAACCCAATATTAGTAGGGGGAACTGTGGTTACGAGCACTCAAGGCCATCCACGATCATCTCTCAGAAAAGATGCAGGTTCCTAGAATCAATGTCCAAGCTTTTGACTCCCTTCTCTACAGCATTTCAGCGGTCTTGGCTATTTCAGTCCAGTGCTTGTGAAAGCTGCCTTACATTAGACTCATTTGGACCCCTTCTCTCTTTGTTCTTGCTTCATTTGACCAATAGCAACAATAATGGTTAGTGACCCCCTAGAACCTTCAGTTCCATGGCATTGGTCTAAGTCTTTTAGGTTTTTCATTTTCTCCTCACAAAAGTCTTGTGAATAAAGACAGTCATTATTTCCATTTTTACAAACCTGGAAATGATTAAATAGCCGAACAATACTGTTCTTCAAATCAATTTCAAATAATTACCCTCTTAGGAGCCTCTTAGAGATGGTGGCTAAAGGTCTCAGCGTCCATGTTAGAATCCTCTCTTCAGAAATGTGACTTTCAGGGAAGATGTGCTTTTCCTGTTTTTACAGAGAAGGCCATTGTGCCTGCTTTCCAAGATTCTCGTGAAGTTGGAATGAGATAGTATGAAGACAGCTTCAAGAACAGGTTCTGGTATGTTATAACATTTGATAATTAGATGTATATTACTTTCTTAACTAGGGGGTGCCCCTTTAATCTGCTAAACTCTCCTTTAGCCTTAATCCTTACTACTCCCTTACAGTTTGTGCAGGCTCATATGATATTTTTCCTCATTTTGTATCTTCCTGGGTTACAGTGAGTTAGATGAGGTAGGTACTAATATAGACTGAATGGATACGACTCAGACCACAACCTCAAGTTGATTTTAGAGGCAAATATTTCGCAGGTGTATTATGTATTTGTTAGTTTCCTCCTCAGAGAGGAGTATGATAAAATGTAATTCCAACCATGCAAGAATGTTTGATAAAGGAATGATACTTGTATAATTAAAACACACCCTTTTATCCATATATATATATGGATAAAAGGGTGCTATATATGGATATATATATATAGTGTGTGTGTGTGTGTGTGTGTGTGTGTGTGTGTGTGTGTGTGTGTGTGTGTGTTTAGGTTTAGGGGCACCATAGAACACATGTGAGAGTCGGAGGTTAACTTATGGAAGTTGGTTCTCTCTTTCCATCATGCGTGTGCTGGGAATAGAACGCAGATCATCAGGCTTGGCAGCCAGCACTTTACCTGCCAGGCCTTCTTGCCAGACCCATTACTTATCCATTACTATCCATTATTTATCCATGTCTACTCTATTAGGCTATTTTTTCTTTTATTTATTTATTTTTCTGCAATGCTGGGGTTTGAAGCTAGGATACAAATGATTCCTAGGCAAGTTCTCTGCCATTGAGATAAGGTTCTGTCTAGTGTATTTATCTGTGTTTTCAAGCCACTGAAGTTTTCATTAGAAGTAAATTAAGCTGCAACAGGAAATTTTCAGTTGGCTCACTTACATGAAGAGCAATATGGAGCCTGGGAGGTGGCTCGGTGGCTAGAATATTTACTGCTCTTTCAGAGGATCTGTGTTCAGTTCCAGCACCCATGTGGGATGGCTCACAACTGCCAGTAATTCCAGCTTCAAGAGTTCCAACGACTCTTCTGGCTTCTGCAGGCAACACACACACACACACACACACACACACACACACACACACACACACA